AGGGTTGGGTTAAGGTTTTAGTTTTGGTTAGGGTTAGGGTTAGGTTAGGGCTAGGGTTAGGATTAACCCTAACCCTAATCCTATAATTTTAACAACTTGACATGTGATATTTGATCACTTTTATATTCACATATGGCATAACTTAACATTGTTTTAAGGAGTAAAGCAAATAAAAAGTATGATATACTACGTGACAATGATAACCAATTTAACTTGTGACTTTAGTGATTTAATTGTTGATATCGGGTATAATTTTACTGTAAATGTGTCTATATTGATACAGTACTTGCAGTTTTATAAAACTAAGTCAGCGTTTAATATCAAATGTTACCATGTTAAACACAGATAAAAGTTCCTAAACACAATAATAGCAAAACAAAACCACACACGTAGGAGCATTAACAAAACAAAGAGTATTACACCAACACACAATAAACATGACCGACAGGTTGACGCGTTTTCCTTTGGACAAGCATATCGGAATATTTCATAGAACTTGGTACACCTGCTGGCGACAAACTTTCACTGAGGGGCGGATTGGTCGATTTGCAATCAATTGCTTTGTATTGAACAAAGGGGTTCTTCATATTGTCTAGAGAAAAAAATGAATAATAAAAAGTATAATATTTACAGATTATGTAAACGAATAATGTACAAACACGGATTCATATCGATAACATCCGCATTTGTGTTCGGATATCTGCATAGGAGCTCATTTCATCATTAAAATTGTAAAGAAAAAAAAACATTATATGTATGTAGCGCTCAAACTATTACACAATTAAGTTACGATGGAACATGTCATATAAATAGCTAAAACGCTCGCATATTGAACTCATGATCGAAGCCTTCCGGTATATTCTTATATGGCTATAGATAAATCAAATATCTCGGAAACGGAGTCGACTTCGACGCTCTCACTGTCTTAGTCTCTTAATGTATAATATAAAGTTTATTCAGAGTATGATATAGCAAAATGTTCAGAGTGGCTTTTAACACTACGGCCTTCGAGGCAGGCGACCGGGTTCGAACGTCGTACGCATGGAATATTCAGAGAAAGTGTTTTTCTACTGCTGTAGCATTCAAGTGAGGTGGTACTAAAATGATACCGTTAGAAGTACGGTCTCACTACAAACAGAACACATTACATCTCCAGCACACACGCAGACATACACAAATAGGGAGATATTAGCTAGGTGGCATAGGACTAGTAGTTAGCGCCTGATAAGGCAGCTCATGCGGAATCCTCAAAATTGATGTTTATGCTTATTGTATTGATTGTATAAATTGTATATCTATGTACTGTAAAGCTCTTTAGAGTAGCTTATTCTAGATAGATAGGGCGCTATATCAAATGTTGTATATTACCATTGTTGTTATTACCATTGTTATCATTACCATTGTTATTATTACCATTGTTATTATTTTCATTGTTATTATTACCATTGCTATCAATACTATTGCTATCATTACCATTGTTATTATTACCATTGTTATTATTACCATTGTTATTATTACCATTGTTATCATTACCATTGTTATTATTTCCATTGTTATCATTACCTTTGTTATCATTACCATTGTTATTATTACCATTGTTATTATTTCCATTGTTATCATTACCATTGTTATCATTACCATTGTTATTATTACCATTGTTATTATTACCATTGTTATTGTTACCATTGTTATTATTATCATTGTAATTGTTATTATTGGTACCTCTTCTGACTGACTTTATAGTTAACTGAGTCTAAGTTAATGACTGTTCTTGATTTTGTCCTTTTCGTGGATTAATGAATTACATTTATCAGCGATTAGAATATAACATCAACTTGACAGTATTTCAATACATACACAAATGACTTCCTGCTTTTAAAAGGATTTATAACAGCTAGCAGTTATTTTATAGATAAATGAACACGTGGTACTTACGATATAGGAAATACGCATCCTATGATCAGTTATTTAACTTAGGATGGAAATATACACGGAGTGCCATTTGGTGCCATCCCCTGATTGTTTAATACTTTAACTAGTTATAAACACAAGTGGACTGAAAGATATCAAGGATTCAATTGTTTGCATTTTAAATGTTCTTATACTCCATTTATATCCAGAACTACCGCATGCTCTAGCATTAGATAAGCACATATTATGATATTGACAGCATCGTATAAATTATCCACAATCGAGGGGAGATACACAGTGGCGCCATCCTACAAGACTGCATTGATTCTACTCCATAACGCTTTACAACACATTAAACCACTGAATTATATATTGCAGGCCTCAGTTGCATTAATCGTTAACCATTGACAGTACTGTAATGAAAGCCATTCTATGAGTCTAAAAAGGATGTTGTTCACTGAATCACAATTGATCACTTTATTGGTGTCAATAGCATCGTCGTCCGCACATATTTTTTCAATGCGACTATTCATGAATGAAAACTTAATGATTTTATAAAACAACTTTAAACTTAAAAGCTCACGTGGTCGGAAAGGGGACCCCATAGCTTTTCATGCCCGATCTGAAATCGAACTCCGACGGCTTTAGTGAAAGGCAAGTGTGTTATCCACTTTCCACATGCCTGCATATACCATATGTTGCTATTGTAAATGAGACTCTTGTTGTCAGTTTTGAAAAAAACGTTATATTGCAGTTCCTTGGTAACATGTTAATAACAAAATCAGTTTTTACTCCATCTCATCCGATACATTGCACATAATACCTCCATTTCTTTCTAAAATAATCACAAGATATATGACTTTTTCACCGTATAATATAATAATTTGAAAGAAAAAGAAAACTTTGGTTTATTAATGAGTTAAGTAATGATAATAATGTGCTGACTACTTCATTTTGTACCTTAATTCCTTATCAAATTGCTTGCGTCGGATGTCAAAAAAAAGATTGTACATATATTTTCACAATGCTATTTTTGACAAAAAGTAACAAATGAATAAATAAAAATCGTTATTTTGATGCTGAATTTGATGAAACGTGTTAAAACTTACATTTTATTTAATCATCACCGTGAATTAGAACAATACACTTTGATATTTGCATTGAAATTGATTATTCGTTATTCTAGCGATAATGTAATTGAAAGTCCTTAATACATACTATCTTTAATTATATAATTGATATCAGCGTTGATTAGTGTTAACACACTCTTTATATACGATTTATACTTAGGTGACACTGATGGGAAGCCCAATTTAATACAGAGCGGTGCTGATCTGTTTTATATCTTCACAATGTTTCTGTTGATATTTTATATTATCACAATGTTCCTATTGCTATTTTCGTATTATTACACTGATTTTTACTGATATTTTGTATTGTCAAAATATTTTATTAATATTTCATATTATCACAATGTTTTTTATAGGTATTTTATATTTTACAATATTTTATTAATATTTTATATTATTCAAAAGTTTTTTTTATAGATATGTTTTATTTTCACAATATTTTATTAATATTATTTATTATCACAATATTTTATTAATATTTTATATTATCAAAAGTTTTTTTTATAGATATGCTTTATTTTCACAATATTTTATTAATATTATTTATTATCACAATATTTTATTAATATTTTATATTATCAAAAGTTTTTTTTATAGATATGCTTTATTTTCACAATATTTTATTAATATTATTTATTATCACAATATTTTATTAATATTTTATATTATCAAAAGTTTTTTTTATAGATATGCTTTATTTTCACAATATTTTATTGATATTATTTATTATCACAATATTTTATTAATATTTTATATTATCAAAAGTTTTTTTATAGATATTTTATATTATCACAATATTTTATTAATATTTTTTATTATCACAATATTTTATTAATATTTTATATTATCACAATTTATTTCATAGATATTTTATATTATCACAATATTTTATTAATATTTTATATTATCACAATGTTTTTTATAGATATTTTATATTATCACAATATTTTATTAATATTTAATATTATCACAATGTTTTTTAAAGATATTTTTTATTATCACAATATTTTATTAATATTTTATATTATCACCATGTTTTTTCTTGATATTATATGTTCACAATATTTTTATTGATTTTTTATCTTATCTTACAATGTTTCTTTTGATCTTTTTGCACCACTAAAAAAGAATATGAGTAAAGCTGGATACATTTTATGTAATATTCCTTAGCAACTGCATTATTTTTAATATGCGTCAAATGTATAAATATCAATTATTCAATCTATCATATTTAACTCCAACTAGGGATTGAACGGCATTTTTTTTTTTTAAAGTGTTCTGTTTGTAGTGAGACCGTACTTCCAACGGTATCCTTTTAGTACCACCTCACTTGAATGCAACAGCACAGATATCGCAACATCCACCCCAGGCCATTTTATACTCCACCTGGGGTTTTCGAAATGTGTGGGCAGTAGAAAAAAATATCTCTGACTATTCCATGCGTACGACGACTTCGGGGATCAAACCCGGCCGCATGCGTCGAAGGCCGTAGTGTTATAATGCACTCTGAATGTTTTATTATACATTGTATCAAACTCCGAAAAACATCTTTATTATACATTAAAAGGCTAAAACAGTGAAAATTTGTTCATATAGTGGGGTGCAGCGTAAATGTAAATAAACTCAATTGTCTGGATTCGATTAAACGACATTAACATTGATCGGTAATTATAACATTATTTTTGAACATGCATTTGAATGGCTTGGGTGATGAGCAAACTTCACTCAATTTTTATATTTCAATATTAAAATCAACTTATAAAAAATCAGAGAGTATGATTCTGACGAGAAGATATGTGAAAATGTGACCTGAGTCCTTATGAACAATATACGTCATGTATTGATTCTTAGACTCCTATTCTCATGTAAATCATAGATTTACTGTAGGCCCAGTTATTAGCAATACATTCTATAAAGTGTTGGCTAGTTGACATAAAATACGCCTTAGTTTATCAGGGCGACAGCGGTCAGTGAGGATTGGGAAAGCAATTGGTGTTAGCAATGTATGTGAAACTGTCTCCGCGAAACATCTTTGAACGATGACAGGCAAACTAATTTACTTATGCTATTTCTTTACACTTTGTTCATCCGGGTTTATCAAATCTAGGATGACTCAAATTACCGAATTGGACAATTTTCGACCTGCGGATAATACAGGAGTTGCTGTTTCAACAAAGAGCATGTTACAGTGTGCGATAGAATGTGCTGACAACTTAGCATGTGAGTCGTTGTCGTATCATTCTGTTCAAGGAAATTGTCTCCTTAATCATTTCTTGTTCGGCAAAGATTCACCTGGCTTGAGCGGTGAAGATGGTTGGAAGACGTATTCGCAAGCCAGAGGTAACGTTGTATGGCATACATCTTGTATTTTTAGTTCAAAATGTTTTTTTTCCCCTAACATTTTACTTCCCCCAGCACATTTAGGATACTGCCGAGGTTGGGGAGCCCCGGGGTCAGCATCTTTACAATCATGTGTCCTCATACAAGAGGGCTATCATACTTTCTTTCATAATTACTAGTAATTATATTATTATTTCTTTATTTTCACTGTCTTCTTTAACATTTATACTTACATGCAAACTTACATCCTTTGTACTACTACTGCAAGTAGAAGGTGATAGGATATGTAAAACATTTTTATTTTAAAAGATAATTACTAATTGTTCTAAGTATTCTTAACTAGAAATATCTTAACAGCTTAGAACCTATTCGTAAATTAGATATTAGCGAGACGCATAGGCTCTTGCAGTTAAAAGATATTTAAAGCATGAAAATTGATTACAATATTTTAGACACAAGGCAGGAAATACGCTTCTTTATAGATTATACCACACCTCTGTTCAACTTTATAAACTTATTGATAGAAATTAAACAGTTCATGATAATTCAGAAAGACAGCTTTAACAACTCAATGTTCGCCTTCTGTGTCAGTTTTAAACGAGTTCATAATCAAACATTAGTCAAGGCCTTCACACTTTTTCCTTAACTTTAAACAGGGGCACACAGATTACGTATATGCACATTTAGACAGTACAAGTTCGCCTATTAATATTTTATAAATCTTAAACTTATTAATAAATCAGGACCCTTTCTAAAAAGCAGCTCTTATATTAATTATAAGATGCATGCTTATTTGAGAGTAATTGGTTGTGAAATTACATATGAATGGTACTGTATGTGAACGAGAAAAATAGTTAAACATCTATGTTTCGTTTAATTTAAACTAAATGTAATTTCAGACGGTCTAAATAGAATTGGATACGTCCTGGAACGAGGTTTTAAGCTTTCAACCTTGTTTTTCAAAGTTGGAACCACAGCTTATAAACAAATAATTGGGATTGGCTATGATGGTAACTAACATGAAACATAAGGAGTTGATGTCGTTTAATACCCAAAGTCGACGTACACAGTTGCCGATAAATATGAAACAACATCTTTGTTAAATGATAATGTCGTTTTCAGGGAAGAGTGATTAAGTAATGAGCCTAAATCTATTTATAACTCAATTATAAAATGTTCAACTTTAAATTAATCTCTAATTGATTAAACCCTATATATCACAAACGCTTGTTATTTTCATTGGTGATTTAATAGTATTCCTGTCATGTTATATATGTGTTTGCAAAAGGTTCCAGATTTAATGTTAGTTCATTATCAATGTTGTTTTTTAACATGAAGGACTCATGACAGACTGCCTAGCGCTGTTACAAACAGGTACTACGCAGAGTGGGGTGTACAATGTATCTGTGACAGGGACAGATACGACCTCGGTCTGGTGTGACATGGACACAGATAATGGTGGCTGGACGGTATGTACAAAAAGCGCGGCTTGTTTATTGCTTCCCTAAAAATATGCATAAAACAATCAGAGTATGAATTAAGCTTAAAGTGCTGGTGAGCATTTCCCAAAACGCGTTTCGGTCGGTTTTATAATGAAAATATTCATCAACATATATCATTTGCTTTCGGAAACTAAGACATAAACAACATTTAAATATGACATTCTGAGTCTGAGCAAAAAAACACGAGAACTTGAAATAATCTGTAAACATGGCGGCCATCTTGTATCACGAATGTAAAAGTCAACCGATTGACATTTAGTTGTGTACCACCAATATATACTTATACAATACACTATACAATTAGACATACTACTTGACATTGAGCAGGTGTTTCAAAGACGTATAGATGGCGCCACCGACTTCTTTAGAGGATGGGCTGAATATAGAGACGGCTTTGGTAACGTTAACCACGAGTTTTGGCTAGGTAAGACTTTAATAAGATCAGCATTTGCATTTTCTTGCCACTTGTTCGCACCATTGAAATTAAGACAATATGCCAAAAATGAATAACACTGCACCATCCAAGTGTCTCATCCTTCTATGACTCATCGGTGATGCTAGGGGCTAAAACGCAGCAAATGAGAATAGGTCTAATTTCAGAATACAATGGCAACAAATATATCTAAACAGTATCAAAATAATAGCAGGCTGATATGCATTATATTAACATAGCATTTAGCTGTCGAACGCACTTATTATTCAATGTCATTACTACATAACTATGTTTAAATACTTTTTACAGGTTTGGAAAATTTGCACGCTTTCACGTCAGCAGGTGATACTGAACTGAGAGTTGACATGGAGGATTTTGCAAACAACACTGCCTATGCCCAATACAACAAATTCGCCATTGGGGACGCAGCGACTAATTACCGATTGAACATATCGGGGTTTTCAGGAAATGCAGGTACGTGTAACCAGATAACCACTATCACATATCGCAACGAACAAACACGTAAATACACGTCGGTTCTACGCTGTTAAAGCTTTTCACTGTGCAGAAATTCATAGGACTATATGATTTTTTCTGGTATTGCATTTACCTTCTGAAATGAATCCCCTTCCCTAGAATTCCTTCACAGAACACGACATATAATTAACGCGCTCTTTCCAAGTGTGAATGTAGGTAAATTAAATGTAAGTCGTGTGCCGTAACAATATGCGGAGTGTGTTTTCGTAGAGGGCTCGAGAGGAAACAACTTCTTTAACATGGATTCTCAACCAAATATTAACATTTTATGTCAAGTTCAATTGAACAGGGGTTATGATTGACACTTAAAACCCAGAAACCTATTCATAGTTTAATCAAAAGTGCATTATCGAATGAAATATTTGTAAAAGTATAAATGCTAATTTTCGTACACGGAATACTGTATCGTCTCTATCAGAATATTACGTTATTACCTAATTGATGACATTTAAACATGAAGTAAAAATGTACATATTCGTGTCTTGGGAAAATATTGATTGACAGTAGTTCAGAATGTGAGCATATTGAGCCTTAACAGAATATTCTGAACGTAAAAATTAATGCAATTAATATTCGAATAGTAAATTCAAATGTACAGGATGTGTTCCTCGCGGTGTTTGGACTGTCAGTAAGTTATACAACTTTTCATCTGAAGATATGGTGTCCAGCTATGTTTGCTGCAATTTCCTGTTTAATACGATAACACAATACCGTAACTACATGTAAACACATTGCTTAAAAAAGGTGATATACAATTACCACAACAGGAATAGTCCATACATGTGTTGGACTGCCTCATAACGTTACAAGTTTAATCAATGTTGGGTTTATGTTACCTTCGGCGTTAATTACAGGTGTGTCGACGACAGAAGGTGAGTCACGGTAAACCCTATATAGTGATTTGCTTTTTATAATCGTAGTGTAATGTATAGGAAAATCGTATTAACTAATAATATATTAATACGTAAACTATCTATAACATAAACTGTTTATAATTTTAATATTGAAAATACCTTTTTTATTTTCAGGGAATTCTCTGGATCGCCATAATGGATATATATTCCGCACACATGATAATGATACTACAGGCTGTTCTGTTCTATACCAAAGCGCCTGGTGGTATGAAAATTGTCATGAATCCAATCTGAATGGGCTGTACTTATCGGGCAATACTTCTATATATGCTAAAGGAATAACATGGGAAACATGGAAGGGATATTACTATTCACTGAAAAACACAAAAATGATGATTCGAAGTTTGACGTAAACATAATGTTAATGGTTTATTTGTATATTTGAGTTTACTAGGACAAGCACTGACTTTATAAACCAATATATGAATGTTGTTTTTGATTACAAACAGACACTTATAATTTCAAATGTTAATATTGTCTGGTATCTGTGATACACATTATCAACATTGTACTATGGTGAGTAGCTTTTTGCACTCTGAATAGCATGTGTATGGTAAAGAAAAGAGACATTCCTGTGAAATGTTTGTAAGCTCTTTGCTGATACAAAATATCGTTGACTATAAGTGTTTATAATGGAATTTTAAAGTTTAAAGTAACTCATATCATATCAGGAAGAACTGTTTTTTCTGCATGATTAATTTTAAAATAATAATAATAATAATTCAAGGTTCTTATATACCGCATTATCACAACCTAGTTTGTAGGTCGTCTCAAAGCGGTCCAAAAAATAGTATCCGTGGTTATAGGGCCTTTCCCACCGGTCAATACTTTTCTCAACTCCCTAGGGACTATACAGCCGGTGCTACAATTCCGGCGCGTACAGCTAGCATTCAACACCTCTAGCGCTGCCAACCACGTACTCATTTAAAGCTTAGTAGGCTGGAACAAGCGGAGTAAAATATCTTGTTCAAAGGTACAACACAGTGCCGCGCTGTGATTCGAACCCGCAACCCTCGGTCACGATCCCGGCGTCCTACCACTAGACTACCGTGCCTCCTATTCACGTCTCTTTGAAATTACATTGATAAATCAAATTAATCATATTCTTGAAAAGGTAGGCTAGTGCTAGAAATATCTTGTTTTACAATAGAGAGTCTTTTTATCATTAGTTTGTGTCACCTGTCAAAAATCGATTTTGTTTATTAAGATATGCCTATCTATTTATTTTTTATTTCATAGAATACAGCTCAATACAAACCCAACAAAAAATTAAAAAGCAAAAATTCAAACTCAAACTCGAACTCAAACTAAGGCAAAAAATATGACCAAAGTAAAAAAACTACATTAGGACCCTTCAAAGGTACAAGTAAAATAAGACCAGATATATCGTAAGGGTAAGCATTTTCTGCTTCATTGATGACCCTTTTACGCATATCTAAGTCAAAAATACTTGCCTTTCTATTCAACATTAGAGTAGATCAGACATATTACATATAAGTTTGATTCTTATTAGAAAGCGATATATCAATTAAAAACCACCTGTCAGGCACAACGCCATAACCAATCTCTTCATCTGAGCGACTTCAAAAAAATAAAAATAGCTTAGTTTTTTTTAAATAAAATTGGAAATCTGTCTTTTGAAGTAATGTTTTAAAACAGGCGTTTCCATTATCCGAACGATGCTGATCTGCAATTGCATATTTTTTCTGGTATACAATGTACATTGAATATGTTCTCAGGAGCCGAATAAATGTACAATCTTGAACAGTAAAGCGTTGTTTACGCATTTAATGTGATAATGACGCCATTAGGGCACAGGCTTATGTTTTACCTGTATATAGGTACTGTATAACATGAAATGTTCGTTGTGTATAAATATTCGTGGTTTTCGTGGTTGCTATTGAACCACGAAAATGTGTCTACTGTTGGTTAATAAAGGACATCTATGAAAGTTTGTAACACGAAACGATCTAATGGCTTCAAACCACGAAGGAAAATACCCACGAATATTTCGTGCTATACAGTAAGACAAGGCAATATACAAATTGAGGTTTGAGCTTTTATATATCGGTATAACAGTATATTTATATAACAGTCCTATTTTTTACTAGTAATGCAACCACTAATGTATAGGGCTATGATCAGCGTCATGCTGATATTCATTCTATTTAGATAATTCAACAGTAGGTAACTATGTGAATCACATGTGTGGTTGTGTGTTTCTATCATCCATTTGTGCGTGCATAGTATTGTTATAAATCTTTCGAATGAATTCTGTCGGCAGCTTAAAACATTTAAACAGACCTTTTTGTCTGTTTGTCTAGCATGCATGACAAGCAATAACAATAACCTCGATCATTGAGTGAAAGTCTTTTCATATTCTCCCCTTGACTTTTGATATATAATTGCATCATATGTATAAATCATCCTATTTAGCCATTGCATGTCGCCTGTTAATGTTGCACCCATAAAACACAAGTTGTTGACAGCTGGTTTGGTGTCATGTGTCTGTCGGATATATCCTTGAACAGTTAACATAGGAAAAGGTTAATGACATCCTATCACTACTTGTCAGGGATCGCTTAATACCTTTTATCAAACAATTTATAAAAAATGAAATAGGTGTAACGTTATACTTGGCGTGACATTTAAACTTCATGATACATAGCTTTAGACAATGCATACTGAAAATAGTGTTTCTGTGTCTAACGACTTTCTCATAACAAAAAGTCGATAAATATCCTCCATGTGTAGTGTTGTTGTCCTCAGCTTCATAGGACATGCGAATATGAAATAAAAAACATTTTGTTTATAAATAATTTGGTACCTGAGAAGACAAAATATTGATGAAGAAATTCTTCATTGAACAGATATTCAAGTTTAAATTTTCAAGTATTTACTATGAAAATAAAATCGTTTTGTGAATGATATTTAAAGTTTATAAATAAATTATTTTCAAAGTTTATGCTTGATGATTAAAGAGATATTTGCGTGCGACTTTTATTTGAATTTATGTATGTGAAACTAAGTAAATTTACAGGGAAGGGCTATAACTGAACAGATATATTTGTTAAATATTACATTATATGAAAAAAGACCGTAACACAAACACAGATTTGGCATTACATATAACAGAATGCTAAAAATGAATAATACTGCACCATACAGCTGTTTTGTCCTTCTAGGTTTAATTGGTGATACCAGGGGGCAAAGAGTTCGAAATACAAGTTGTCTAAACTACTGTTGAAATAGAGGAGCAGATGCGTAAAACTCCCTTGTATTTAAATCTCAAAATTTAGATGAGTACTGGTTAATTTTTAAATTATGAAATCTGTAAAAGTGTATGTTATGAACCCTACCGAGGCGATAACTGTGGTCATCAAGGTTACAGCAGACCTCGGTGACAAAAAAATCCACCAGCAATGTCTACAACCCTATATCTTGAAACAGGAATGTAAAGCACACAAAGATGACCCCATCTGTACATATATTACACATAGTACAAACTACGGCACTAAATCGCCTAGTCAAGAACTATTCGCAGTTCTTACCACTACATCACCTCTCTACCCCAATTTTTTTCACCTGATCATTTCGAAATATCGAATATTGGTGAGTACAGGGATCGGAATTAAATATATACACAAGAATGCATTCGAATTGTACAGAATTAAATATATATTACTAAAACATTGTTATTATTACGCGGATAAATTACTTAGAAATGCAAGTGGCGAATGGAAATAATTTTTCTTTTATACATTTTTTTTTATTATTTATATCTGCAGTACCCATCAAATTATGAGGAAGCTGCTTCAACACATTATGTGATAAAGCAGAGCATGTCATTTTCTTTGGCGTAATTATGTAAAAATTGAATGAAGGAATAAACAATATTTTGATTAGTGGAATCAAGTATTATTCGAACGTAAAAATGAATAAGTATATGATAAATAAATATTAATGAATAGATGTTTGCCTTAGAAGGACAAATAATTGTATGAGCAGCTTAATGCAGTGATTTTCATTTGGGGAAAATGAAAGAAATCAAACATAAAAAACCCTAATATATTCATTTAATTAATTGATAACTTAAAAAAACGGTATCTATTGTTTGGATGTACAAACTAATGTACAGATTGCGTTGGTGAGATCGATAGTCTGTGTGCTCATCATAGCTATTGGTGTAAGTCAAAAAAATCAATTAGAAACACTGAATTATATTTGTTAAGCAAACATTTGTACACAAACAATACTTTACAAAGTTATGATTTCCTGTAGACATACAAAATCTGAATTTATTAAAACGTTTAACATGAGCAATTGGATACCACCTGGGTATAGACATATGACGTCGTTAACCAATAATTCAATAGCTAAATGAGATTTACCTGTAAGCTGAAATGTTATTGGTATTCGGTTTCACTCCGGATCGTACGCAGATATCACGTGAGATACGTGCGCATGTCATCAGTTATACTTACAGCTGTGCGTGGACACGTGCACATCAAGAGGAGTGTCAATGGAGGGAATAAAGAAATGCAAACTGGGAGGATCCTTGTTCTCATTAAATGAGGTTTATATATCTATTTATTTATTTATTTACAACTGAATCGGCTGTGGGAGTTACTCCCCTTGCTTAATTATTTCTGTAACGGTAACAATGCTCTCTCTTTCTTTCTATATATAGCTTTTGTGTGTTTGTAATTCTGGATAGGAGAGAACTAGTATAGGCATAGCCTGTTGTCCAATCCTTTTGATTTTTCAATAACATTTACTGAAATGAAATGAAACAAGGGAGGGCAGGTGATCCCTACGTACTATCGGGAGTGAAACAGAATTTCAATCAAATTACAACTTACAGATAAGTATCATTTAATTATCAAATTTATAGCACTCCCATATACCGTGAGACGTTCAGAGACAGTGTCCACATGTACATGTACAAATGTCAATTAATAAGAGACCAAAAACATTCTGCTATATTCATGCATTAAAAAACAAACAAAATACATATATGATGTATACAAACATAAAGCAACCTAACATAACCAAGTCTCTGAAATGTGTTAAATACTCCTTCAAAATGTAAATATCTATAATGTAATTCCACACGGTTTACCATTTATATTGAAAAATGGTATAAAGACGATCTGGCCGTGTTTATGCTACTGTTTCCAAGTCCAGCCTGTTTTCTTAATACTGTTATGGTTGGTCTACCGTCTAAGAAAAAAGATGAAGTGCCATTTATGTTTATTTATGTTTTAAATGACTAAAGTATGAATAGCATATATTTACTTTGTTTCTTGACCTACATTTAAACAAAGTATGCAAACCTGCTAATTGATAAATGTACTCTTCATGGACCGCCACCAACAATGAAGTAGCAAGATCTCTCTCATTCATCACTTTAAACATAATCATAGCTCGAAAGACATGTGTATCATATACAAAAGTGTAATAATGCATTTAGCATATTTGGAACATTATGTAAAAAAGGTAAAAAAACATTACATGTTGTAATTCATGTTAAGGTTTATAATATACAGCAAAGACGGACCTGCTATAAAAGTAACAATATAAATCTAGTTTTAAAGAAAGACAAATTCATATTGATCAATGTCGTTGTCGTTGTTTGTTTTGCATAATGACCATTTATTTCGATAAA